GTCAATTTTGTAGGATTCCGAAAATGGTTCATTTTTACGTTTGTGATAATTAGAAGAGAAGGTATAGCCAATTAACTGCACTGGAAGTGAAAGCAGAAAGACCGGAAGTGCCATTTAAAAGGCTCAACTTAAAGGTAAACAATGTTGTTATCCGTGTTTTTTTTTTAACTGTTCGTGTGTAAAATTGTGCTAAAACATTTCATTTTAATTCTGGGTACTTTTTTTTGTTTCTGGCAATAATTATTTGCCTTAATTCTTTGAACTGGGACTAGCAACATTGCGGTTTTTTTAACTGGGTTTGGCAACATTGCGATTAGGTATAAAGACTATGTTGCTGGATGCATATATAGCCGTTTAATTTTAATTCAGGGTATTGGATTACTTTCTGTGTTTGAACATTTAGGCATATCAATTGAACAAGAATTTGATTAAAAATTACTTTGGAATTGATAACGAAAGAATAAAGAACTCGAAAATTCATTCGTCGCTCATTTCGAAAATAGCCAGAAAAAAATTAAAATCAAATAGGAAATCAAAATTACTTAAGTATAAAGATATGGAGGGTGTGATGTACAAATGTGGAGAATTTTAAGTGTGTAAATACAAAAGAACAGTTTTTCTGTTAATGTGAAAACTTTAAATGCGTTTTCTGAAAAACTAATTTTTCTAGTGTTTTTACATACAAGAAATGTAATTACTCAAAATGTTCTAAAGATATCTCTATTAAATTTCACTAAAATGTTTTCTATATTATTTATTAGGTTTTTTAAGCTACAATCTAAGTAACATTTATTAATTTGATTGTTTTATAAGTATTTCTATATATAAAACGATAAGAAATATTTTACAAAAAACTGTGTTTTTTCATGTAATTACACATATTTTAGTAAATTTTAGAAATATCATATACATTTTAGTTCATAACAGATAAGTGTAGTAGTATACAGTATAAAAAAAATTGAAAATATATGCTGTGTGAGGAAAAATATACGGCATTTAAACGTAAGTGTTTTAAAAAATCTAAAAATTTGCATAAAATTGCATATATTTCAAAAATTTATAAAAATATTCCTCAAAATTTACCAATTTTCATGATTTGATATCATATTTTGACTAAATAAATATATATTTCATCAGAATTCTATGTTTTTAAAAAAAAGTGCTCCGAACGTAGGCAGATACCTAACGCGTTTTATGAAATAAAAGCTATAAATCGGCTTAAATGAAAAGGTTAAGAAGTTTTGAAATTTGAAGTTTTTTTTTTATTCTTTATCAGTATTTATATCGACTCAAAATTATTAAGTTATAACTACTCAAATGTTAAAAGTTATGCAGTAAGTTTCTTTTAAAAAAATTGCAGCAAAAAATGGGCTACAATTTACTTAACTACCTTTAGTCTATGTTATAAATAGCAGGTTTGGTGTATTTAATTATGGGAAAAACACTCAAGTGATATTTACTTAAGGGCAGGGATGCCTTCGTGGAGGACTGTCTAAGTCAACCTTGTTCGTATACATGTTCCACATGGAGAAAACCCCCATGCAGCCAGGCCACTGACCGGAATTCCGAGCCAAGGACTTAACTACCACTGTTCATTTACTTTACCACTCGGCCGCTGGTCGGCCATTACAAAAAAAAAAAAAAAAAAAAAAAAAAAAAAAAAAAAAAAAAAAAATTACATGCAATTAGTTAAATTAGACCATAATTTAAATTATAGAAAGCTGTATGGCTTTATACAGCATACAGAAGTACTGCATACAGATGGCTAGGTCGACTGGGGCTGCGCCAGTTAATACTAATACAGTATAAAGCTTTATTACATACAAAATTAAAAATCTGTTTAAACAACGTAAACGAAATATAAATCAGCAAAATAACTGCATATATTATCAAATAATAAATAACATTAATACTATATACTGTCTAATAAATATCCATCCAGTTCAACAGCTCAAAGAGAAACCTTGGGAGTAAAGTGCTTCAAAGAATAAACCTTATATAATGGAAGGGATTTCAAGAAAATGAACTTTTGATTACACCTCAATCGCCTCATATCATTCGTTATCTATTAAAAAGAAGGACACGCCTCTGGAACTTTCTTCTTGCGTGAAATCGGTTCGCTGAATGAAGAAATTTCACTCGAAACTCAGAAAACGATTTTCGTAAATCAAATTATGATGATATGAACTCGCTTAATTTGGAAGTTCCCATTCGTCCCTTTTTCTGAAATAGTTCCGGATTTATTCTAAATCTAAGACTTTTTCGGTTAGTTAAACTAAAACGCTACTCATAAAGGGAAAAACACGCGACGAATAACTACACAAGGGAGGGATCCTTTCGTGGAGAATTTTCTACGGGGAGCTGATACATAATTGTAGCACACAGAGAAAACCACGCGTTCTCCATACAGCCAGAACCCAAATCTGAGTACTAATTATCAACGGAAATATCAGCTTGGTAGACTTCTTAGGTGTCTTACTCTCGTGAATAACTAATTTTATTCTTTTTATTACTGTAATTGTAATACTCTAGGTATTAAATTTATGAATAATTGCCGACTGCTATCTGTTACCATACTGAAAAGCTGAGCCATCCACTTTCATGCTCCAGCTTAGAATATTGTTTTACAGTCTATTATGAAATGGCTCATCGTCGGTAACTTTGGCTAATGGCGGTCGTTATAGCAACAGGGCTGGTGTATTTCAAGCAGGGATGAATCAGAAGGAAATTGTTTTCCGCGAAATATTTGTAGCGAAAAGAGTTAACTCCTAGAACACTTTTTGTCCTAGAAGCATGTGTTTATTAAGTTGCTTATCTTACGGCTAATTAGCCTTCTGTTGATACTTAAGTCTCGTTAAAATATTATTTTCATTTTTTTTTAATTATTTAAAATAAAATTCCGTAACACTTAAAAAAAATGCCCCAAAATTTTCCAAAAAGCAAATTTTAATGAATCTATTTTTCTGAAAAATAGTCAGCTACGGCACGGCCAAAGCAATAAGTTATATGTACTGAAAAACTGAGCTATGAATTTAATGTATACAAAGTTGCTAGCTGTGACCAAAGCAAAATTTCTGAGTTCTATATACACCGGAAAAGAAAGTGCATAAAAACATTTCAATACGAATGAAATCAGTTCATTCTTTCCAAACAACAATCAATTCATAAATACGTTTTCATTGCCAATCCAGGAAACAAAAACTTTGGACACTTCAGGTTAATACACATAAGTATGATGTCATGATTTACATTTAATGTAATATAACAGCTTTTTCTCAATATCAATGAAAGAATTAACGTGGAAGTAATATACCGTGTCAATTATCTTAATCTGAAACAAAAAAAGTTGGCAAAAGCAGCTATTTATTTAAAATGCAGACATTACCGAAACATTTTCGATATACAATGACGTCGCATGAAATCGTGTCTTTCTTCAACATCAAAACATAAGCGTAATAATATATTTAATGTTTGACAATGCTGCTTTTATTTCATATTTTGGTAAAACTTAAATTTATTAACAAATTCTACAATTTGAAAGGGAGCAGTGGCAACACTTTTCGAAATAAAGCAGATTTTTAGCTTCAGAGTGCGAGACTGTTGCCACTCGAACAAAATGAGGGTGAAATTTAGCGTTTTTAATTAATATCTCGGCTGACTAAAGTCGTAAGAAGATGAGAATGGTCGAAATGGCTTCCCATAAATTTTTGAAATCCGGGAGGGGGGGGGTACCTTTCGAAACTCAACTCTCCGCCGTTTCGGAGATGATGCCACAAACAGACATACGCGCAAAGATTTTAATAACATATAATACTATGGGAACTCTAGTTTAACTGCTTCTGGCGTGCATAAATAAAACAAATATTAAACTACTGAAATGAATACATGACACAATTTTAAATCTGGGAATTAAATCAATAGTTTCATCAGATAAATTAATTAATTTAGTTTTAAGTGAAAGAGTACAAATTAATTCAGCTAATTAAGAACAGTTCATCTGCAAACAAATGGAAATTCTATTTGATCATTATATTTGAATAACGTAAACTACGATATAAGTACACTCTGAAACAAGTATATGATGATATTTTGTGAAAGTTTAGAAAAAGAATTCAACATTTGTTTTTATTTTTTTTTTTAACATTATGCCAGGGAAAAAAAAAAAAAAAAAAAACTATTTGTAAATGATCACAACCACACTCCTTATGTCTTCTCCTGTTACAAAATCAGCCGGATCTGAACTTCGACGAGAACAGTGGATGCATTGACAGCGTTCTCAAAGTGCAAAATTCGTGGATTCTTTTGAACAAACAGTATAGGCAAATCAACTCAATAATGAAGCAAAGTTTTTTAAAATAAATTTGGTTTTCTGTGAATTTACTTCTTTATTTCTTAATCATAAATTATTAATAGAATTACGAATTTCTACAGTATTCTGCCAATGGACTTTAGAGTTTCTTCAGTTCAAGATCTGTGTGTTAAATCTTCTCAGGTTGAGAAATGTTTTAACTGGATTATTAGTCAATCAAACAAATAAGAAATTTAAATCGCTTTGAGAAATTCATGAAGTAGACATTATTTTCACACAGTATATTAAAAAATTCCGCCTTAAACAAATCTGCAAAACGGTTTATTTCAAGAAAAATGGGTTTAAAAAGGCGCGAAAATTTTAAACTTGTGAAAATGCGCATAAAATCCTATACGATAAAATTATTCCCATGCCGTGCTGTCAGAACTCAAGAATATACTAATTAATTTTATTAGCTATAACGAAAAAATAAAATTCCAATTATAGCAATTTATAACAAAATACGAATATTGAGTAATTAGTTACATGACTATATAAAGATATACTTATTCAGTCGAAAAGATGATTTAAAATATTTTAGTGGGAATTTCCCCCCTCAATAAAGTAATAATAAAGCGACAAATTATTAATTTTGAATAATAATACCAGGACCATCGAATGTCAGATTTAGCGATACAAAATAAGAGCTTACTTTTTAAACATGCGTTCATATTCCTTAATTTCCTTCAAAGAAAATTCCTTGAATTCCGTGTAGGGATTGAAATACTTCTTTCGGTTTGGCAGTTGAGAAACATCCACATTTCCTTCATTGATAATCTGCCGGTGAGTTAAAATCGCTGAAAGTTCTGAATCCGCCATTATTTTTACCGAATACTCTGGATTAAAGTTTCGCGGATGGAGCAGAATTTAAAAATGAAACGCACAGTAAGAACTCACGAGTCTTTTTTTATAAAATAAATATTGTGCCGTAAGTGTTACTGACCCGTTTTAAATAGGCAAGTAGAAAACGGAGCTTCGCTATCGCAAGCTTTGAGCCAATGAGGGAAGTCAAGCACGAGACGTTATCCGCTAGGTTGCCAGATTGGAGACGTTATATCTATTTGAATTTCTTTCTTTTTATCGCCAACTCATTTTCTGTGAAGAGAAGTTTTAAGCTCGAGTGCGTTTGTTTTACAATCGATTGCAATTAGGTAGTTATTTGCGTTTTTTTTATTAGAGGTGGCTGTACTTTGGTTATGGATTAGTGTAACAGTATTTTTTTATTTTTTTTATTTTTTTAGCATTTCTTTTTTCTAGTGATGATGAAGGAAATTTGTAAATTTTAAGATTAAATTTTCCTTATTTATAAGCAATAATACATTTATTATATTCCGAACTTATTTTCGTGAAGTATTCTAAGTTTTATTGAAATATAGCATAATCTATGTTGTGTATGTTTTATAACACATTCGCAGTTTTTCATAGTAAAATATATTTACGTGTTATTAGTCTCGAGTGCGGATTTTGCATCGAACCACAGTAAATGCGTTCACTTTCATTCGAGTCTGTTGCCATTCAGAAAAATGAAAGATATTCATCTGTCAAATTGAATTTGTCTGCTGTGGATTACCAATATAAGCTGTTTGAAAGAAGCAGGTGCAAGTTCTTAAAAATATTCGTTTCTTACTTTTGAATCGGATGGATGTTAATAATAAAATCGATCCGATTCAAAAGTAAGAAACGAATAGTTACAGGAATTTAATTCATGATTTATCTGATTAAAAACAGGAAATACTTGTCATTGAATGACGTTATATTTATTTCATAATTTTGTGAAACTTGAATGAATTTTTGATTAAGTGGTGTGGTGTATTTAATTATGGCAAAGCACACGAGGGCTATCTGCCTAAAGGGAGGGATGCCTTTCGTGGAGGACTTTCTAAGGGAAACTGGCTCGTATACACGTTACACATGGGGAAAACCACGAAAAACGCCCGTTCGCGGGATTCGAACCTCAGATCGAACTACCAGTGTTCAGCGTCTTTACCGCTCGGCCGCTGGTGGGCAATTTTTGATTAAGATACTCAGTGATTTGAAAGCGAGGAATGGCAACACTGTACGGAATAAAACATTTTTATCTCCAGCGAGGCTGTGTATCAGAAATTCTAAAGATATGCTGTTTTTAATATATTGGGATTTTGCTGTTGAATTGAAGTTTATGCGGCTTAATTGCGAAGAACGTGATATTTAATAACGCACAAAAAACTTTAATTATAAAAAGACAAAATGCCATATTATTAAGAAAACTGAAATATGATAATCTGAGAAAAGACTGAAAAAATTAGAAAAATGTATGCCAGCACTTAATTACTGTATAGGAAATTATAAAAATATGCTGCTTTAACTTTTTTTTTTTTTTTAATTTTGTTGCTGAATTGTATTACGGCGTAAGTCCGAAGGAAATGCTACTTAATAAAACTAAAAAGGAAAAAAAAAAAAAAAAAAAAAAGCAAGATTGTATTGTAAGAGCAGATTGATAGACTGTGAGCTCAGCGAAAACCTCAACAAACCCTATTGGGCGACTGTTAAAATCTGAAACTTTTTAGAATCTTTTTTTAAAATTTCTTCTCGATTTAAGATTTTTTAAAATTTATTTGTATGGTTTGTTTTTGAATTTAGAACACTTATTATCGTCGACCTCACGAAAAAAAATCTCTTCTGAATCCATTTAAAATAATTTTTTGCAACCGGATTTTGGAAAAACGTACAGATGTCATGCAAAAACATCGTTAAATTGTATTCGATAGCGGTTAAAATGGATATTTTCGTTGAAATATGAGACCCGAAAATTTTCGCGATTACAATACTTCAATCGCGAAAAATATAAGGAAGTAAAAATACAAGTATCTAAACAAATGTGAATCAATGTAAGATTTTTTTGAAAATATATTGTGTTTGTGTCCAGAATAAATATGTGTAACCAAGATAATTGTTAATATATTTCACTATTTAGTTAATCATGTCTTAAAGAATTATATTAAAAAATTATTCCATTTCGTCAGAAATCCTGCTGTTATTTCATTTAGATCTTGCTAGTCAGCTTACAATATTCTTTGCTGTCGCTTCTGAAGATGTTCTAATAGCTTCATCTGTGCAGCAATTATCTTCATTATCATCAAAGCAAAAATCAGGTGAATAACTGTTACGTCGATATGTAGCAATAACAAAGCTATTTATTCTGTGTCCAGATAAGTCTTGCTAACGAATATATACAATGGCTTTCTTTAATTTCTTTTTCTGTACTTAAAAGGTGGCTGTTTATGTACGCACTAATGTACACTAATCGAATCACGAATGTCGCTGCCTACTCATCTAACTATCTAACGACGTATCTAAATGCCACATCTAAATTTCTGCAAGCGATGGTTCGGCTATAATTCTATGATCAAATACTCAATCTAGTTTTAAAAGATTTATTAAAATACTAAAATTTATCTAATCTAGAATCGAATCTAATGTTACATCTCAGGAGCAGCGTTCTAGCTGCGTCATAACAAATCGAAAGTCAAGTTCTCACTGTTGCCATTCTGAGGCAGAGAAAAGTTTGTTTCTAATCAAACCGGAACATCGGCATAATGAAAGTTTCTAGTCAAACTGGAACAGTGGCAATTGTGCGAGAAATAAAAAATAAAATAAAATAAAATAAAAAAAATAATAAAAATATGAAAGGTTTCAGATTTTAAATTACGTCAAAGAGACGTTTTCTTAACGTTTTGTGTATTACCTTTATTTATTAAATATCACGTTCTTCGCCCTTAAACCATAAAATTCAGTTCAATAGCAATGTGGCAAAATAATTCTAAAATGAGCCTATCTTTAGAATTTCCGATACACAGTTCCGCGCGCTGGAGATAAAAAGGTTTTGTTTTAAGTACAACGCTGCCACTACTCGCTTTGAAATGCTTAAATTAATCAAAAATTCGTTAAAGTTTCACAAAATATGAAATCCAAAATAAAACAAATTCCAAATTTCAAATTTGGGCATCCACATGCCCATATTCGTAGGAGGATTACGTCATTCAAAATTCGATGGCTCTATGTACCGTTGTTTTATCACAATGCGAGAAATATACATACATTTATGCAGATTCTTCATTATTTAATTTCTTCAAATATAATGCAGGACTCTAACATTGGGTGGCAACAGTTTGAAAAGTGATTCGCCGTTTATAATGATTCAACGCAAAATCGCAAAACGAAAACAATAGTCCTTCAAGGACAAAGCAACTTTGGACTTTAAAAAAAAAAAAAAAAAAAAAAAAAAAAAAAAAAAATTAGCTATTTGTCAAATTATAGAGCAAAGAGCCTACTTTCGTCAACTATAAAAGTTGTTAGGAAAATAATTTTTTGAAAGATAGAATACTCATTTCTGGAAAATCGTCATCTAAAATTAATTCAGTTGCACTTGCGAAGAAGAGATAAAACATATTTCCGGTTCCCAAAATAAATAGTTGAATTTATTAATAAAAGAGAAGTCGCTGCCCTTCTACTGGATTTAGTGAATTATGAAAAGTTATTAAATATTGGCATCTTAATTAATTGCTTTCAACTGCTTTTCCACAAAAGCTAAAACAATATCATAAAAATAGCTAAAATATAATACCAACACTTTTGGCCGTTTTATTATGAGCTGTTAAGATTACGTAATGAAATGATTAAAAATTTTGCAGGTAATCTAAATGGATTTTATCAAGACAAGACGTTACAAATGATACCACGTTACAAATGATTTGTAACGTGGGAAAATCACGTCTGTTTCTACTGCAATATATAATGTCCTGAAACATGTTGCCTGTACCCAATACAATAGATAACATCTTCAAATATGCACCTGCACAACTGTTAACCAGAGAACAGGGGCTCCATTACCTAGCTGACATGATGTCTGCCTTACACGGATTAAAGCCCCTGCCTCCAGAAGCTATTTATTATAACTAAGCAGAATAAGTTTACAGTGGCATACAAGGCCTTCAAGAACACAAGGACATAAGTAACATAGTCATTAATAAACCCTAAAGAAAGCATGTTCCAAGTAGTACCTATAGCATTCAAACAATAAAGCGAGTATATTTTCATAATTTGTACTGAAAATACGAAATACTTTCAAAACTGAGTCTAACTAATTTAAATAAAAACTATGGTACAAACAAACAAACAAAATATAATACATCCATTACTGTATTATACAAAATTAATTTCAATTAGATTCACAATATCAAGAAGAACCATTCAATTTAGAAAAAAATGCATAAAGATAAACTAAGACAATAATAAACTGCCAAATAAAATTTCTTCATATGAATTCAGAATTAAGAACCAATAACTTTGATAACTGAACATTATCATAAAATACACTGAACCTGAGATATTATTACAATACAAAACATAAACTTGGCTTAAAAACAAAACCACTCCAAGTAATATAAAACCTCTACATCAGGTTTGCTGGCAACGCGATAGAAATACAGTACAAGAATAAAGCCAACATAAAGATATGAAAAATTTCCAATTGAAAAACCACATTCATTCAAAAATAAGTCAAACATTCAAAAATAAGTCAAAGAAAATTATTATAAAATACTGCCTTAAATGCACATTTTACAATATAGAACTCAAATAAAACCAATAAAATTCACAAAAACAGGTCAACTATTCAATTCAGAAAAGTGCAAAAAGGTATACAAAATAATTATTCTAGATTAGGTTTGCTGGCATCGCTAAGACAAATGCAATACTAGAAAAATGCCGACATAAAATTTTACAGAATTTCAAAATCAAATACAAAATGCATTCAAGATTAAAGTAAAGAAAATTAATAT